AACAGTTTCGACAGTGAAAGGGTGAGAGCAAGATGCCAGCTTAGTAGAACGCTTAAATTCATGAAGTCTGGGAACCAGCGAAAGCAGCTCCTCGGAGCAGTTACTATGAAAGTATTTGTAAAAAAGATAGAGGGAGGTGACGGCACGTCTGTGAGAAAGCGACTGCAGACGAGATGCCAGATCAGGGCCAATTACGTTGCATATCCGTCTCTGGATCTTATCTTACCCTTACCTTTTTTCTTTTCTTTTTTTTTAATTTAGCGTCTTGTCTACATTTTTTCTTCCGTCGCATCTGTGCCAACTATTATAAAAATCTTACATGTCATCTCATCCTCATCAGAGAAGACGAATATCTTCGCCTAGATCTTTGCCTCTAACTCAACATTAGATGACATAGACCATCCCCTTCCCTACTTTCCTCATCTCACTGAATACAATCACAGTAGTATTTTTATTACAGCCCGGGAAGTCTCAAGACTGATAAAAAGTCTTCACGCTAAGAAAGGCAAAATCCCTGTGGTTGTCATTATTATTGATTTTGGCGAAATTATTTAACCGCTGCTTGAAGGAGAAATCCCTCTCAAGTCTGTAAAAAGTGTCAAGTGTATGCCCGCTTTTCAAGAACGCGAGTGAGCTCTCATCCCCATCTCATTATAGACCCATCAATCTACTTAGCGTCATTAGCAAACTTTTATAAGAAGGTTATTGATCACCTAAATAGAAACAACCTCTTGAGCGACAAACAGTACGAGGTTAGACCGACTCAATCCACTGCTGATGTTCTAACTACCATTACTCACAGAATCAGTGAGGCACGAGGTAATAAATATATCTCAAGGGCTACCGCACTAAATGTCCCAAAGACCTTTGACAAAGTGTGGCATAAAAGATTACTGCACAAGCTCTCTAATTAGGGAATTAATAGAAGAGTTTTTCCAAACGGATAAATCACGGAAGGTATTTGTTAACGGCCCTAGCAATCAATGTAGGCGACAACCAGGAGTCGCTTCTCGGACCAACCTTCATTCTACATAAATGATCAGCCTATACTCCGATTATGAACAACGGTGCACCTCCAAAACTCTAGACCAGTGGTTTTCAAGCAGGATTCCGCGGAATGCTAGCGTTCCGCCAGTAGAGCCCAGGGGTTCCGCAAGAAGTTACACAAGTACTATGATTGGAATTTGAGCCATCTGAAGAACATTTTGCATTAACAGAAGAAGAAGAACTTGCCAGTGTTTCCAGCATTAAAATTGAAAGAGCTTAGCCTGAGTCATTCTGGTTGTTGGTTAAATAGGAATATCCTGCAATTGCACAGAAAGCACTGCGCCTTCATATGCAGATTTTGAATTAACAGTTTTTCAGCTCTGAAGAGAGCCTGTCTCTGGAAGATGGATTTGCATTAACAGAAGAAGAAGAACTTGCAAGTGTTTCAAGTGACAGAACATTAAAATTGAAGCATTCTGAAGCATAAAAGAAGCTGCTTCATGTCATTCTGGTAGACAGAAATTAAATTGGTTGCTGAATTGCACAGAAATCCTGCATATTTTTCGGATAAATCATGCAGAAGTCTTTTTCAACATCCTAAAAATTTGTGAATTTTGGATTTTCAGCTCTGACAGCCATGCCCATCTTTGCGAGCAATTTGTTCCAAGTCTGTTTGTGGAAGATGGACTTCCTGTGTCTGTCTGTCAAAAATATATAGCTCCCAAAATTAAATATATATAAAGATTTGTGTCTTACCATCAGGCCAAAACATGACTCAAGTTTTAATTGATTTTTGTAAAGAAAATCTCAAGTTTTTACATTTATTTTTACAGTTTGTTTTAATGAAATCTGATATATATATATATATAAGTTTTTTAATATTTGTAATAATTCCCCATAAGATTTAATTTGTTTTGTATATTTGGACAATGTTTAAATCACCCTCTTTTACAGTTTGTCTTTTTTATTTCTTTTTGTAAATAAATTTTCAACAAAAATAAGAACATTCACAAATTTCACACACACATTTTATTTTATTTTTTTTTATATATTTATGGATTTTGTCTGAAACCCATTTAATTATTTATTTCATTACCTCTTTGGCTTTTGATTCAGAAGAACTCACAAATTCAGTTCTCTTTTTCTTCATGTTTGAAGAACAAACCTTCTGAAGGGAGCAAGATCGTTGATTGAACCAAATTTTCTCCAACCAAGTTCTTGCATGGGTCTCACCTTTTTTCGAACCAACTGGGGAGTTGGTTAGATCCAGTGACAGACCCAAAGAAGGTGAGTTCAACCATGGTTAAGGCAGTGGAGAACTTTCAGAGTGAAAATTAGCAGGAGAGAACTGATAACTGACATCCTTCAAAAGTTCTCATGGCAACTGGAACTGAAATCTCCACCTCTGATATCCAACCCCATTGATCGAAATAAAGGGTTAGTTCGAAATTCCAACCACCTGAAGAAGTCCATTAGACTTTAAATTTCGTTCTATTTTAACAAAAAGTTAAAATTCAGTAATGGGAACATGATGATATAATATATATATATATATATATATATATAGCGTTGGGACAATATGGCGACAAAGATGAGGACAATAGTCCGACTAGGAGACAATATGGCGGTAAATACTATATATATATATATATATATATTTAATTTAATTAAGAGTCTGATAGAAACCTCAACAGAATGCAGAAAGCACTGGACGGCAGTAGGAGCGGTTTGGTGAGAGTAGCCGTGGGGGCACAGTCCTATGGTTACAGAGAACGCAGTATGTTTCCGCCACGGAATATGTGAGCGAGCGGCGCTAAGTTGAGTCTGATTTGGAATATCTTCGGCACCGAGGCCCATTGGAACAGTTGGTATGGTGTTTGCTTGACAACCTAACTGTCAGGTTTCAATTCTCGGTAGTGGATGCTCACTGTTGATGAGTCCCAAATGTAGAACGAAACAGCCGTCCACTGCATTCTGTTGAGGTTTCTATCGATGAATTAATTAAATATAATTTTCAAATCTTCCTAATAATTTATATATATTGGTTTTGTTTGTCTTCTTTACATCTTCAGTTTGACTTAAATTGAGTTCGGCAATCTTCTTGTAGTTGGACTTTTTAATATTCTACCAGGAGTTACACACGTATTTCTAATACTACACACGGTCCTCTACAGAATAAGTCCTGTAAGAGTAAGATTAAGAAGAATCATTCTTATGTCCTTTCTATTTTTGTATATTTACTGAATTCATTTTCTATCCGTATGCGGGCGGTTTGCTGCCAGGATAAATTCTGGATCAGTAGCGACGGACCCGAGCATCCTTGTTAGAAGAGCTTCCAATCAAAGAGTGAAATAAAAATTTAGTTTGTATTTAATTGGAATAAAGTGTTTATTTCATGTTTCATTAGTTTCTACGTATTTAAAATGCCTTGTTGGAATTTAATTTGAGAACAACAATTTCACAAGTCCACATTCTCGCTATTTTTCTATCCTCACTTCAACCTCTTTTTAATTTCAAAACCGGCTCCCAAGGCCTTCATTCTTATCAGAGATAAGAATATATTTTCTGACTAAGGAGAGAGCTGGAAAATAAAAAAAATTCCACCACCATTATTCTTTCCATGGAGCCATAAAGTCTGGGAGAAACCTCACAGCTTCTTCACTTCAACCTGTTTTCAGTACCTTCGAAACCGGCTCCCAGGGCCCTGATTCTTATCAGAGATAAGAATGTGTTTTCTGACCAATAGAGGGACCAGGAAATTTGTACAACGATTTTGGAGGGAAAAGTCCCCGATCCATCGGAGCCTATCAAAACTGCATAAATTTGGAGAATCTTGCCTATTTCGACAGTGAGATTTCTGCCCACCGTCTGTGAGGTCGACATTAGGAAGCTCCAGCACCTCTTTCACCAAAGAAGAACTACTAAAAAGGGCTGTCAAAAACGAACGTCGGTCCACTATTCAAGACCAATCCAAAGCTGCATCCTTTCACCACTCCTTCTGACTCGCCCAGTGGACTTCTGTCGTCGACCTAAAACTCACTCAGCTGCAGGATTCCTTCATCTGCAAAAAAATTTCCAACTCTACAAGAACTGTGAGTGTATCTATTTGAATCTTAACAATAATATCTAATCGCTTAAAGAACTCTTTAGGCGCTCAGAGAAATATTTTGAGCAAGCCTTTTTTAAGTTAAGAACATTTTCTCTTTTCCCCTTTCTTTCTCTACTAAGTGTCCTTTTATCCCTTTACCTTTTTTCTGTATATGTTGTAAATAAACACTTTCTTCTTTTGTTGTTACTCACCGAGCAGGAGTTTTTACTTTATTCGTACGCGCCTAAAAGAGAGAGTTTGTCCGCTCTAATCTTGCTTTGAGGCAATTTTTTAAACTTCAACCCTATTTTTAACCTCAACCCTTTGATGCGGGAAAGTCAGGACAGATTTCCTAGCAGCCTTCCATTCTCATGTTTCTCAGTAGTATAGCCTATTACTTAGGTCTTTTAGAAACATTCAATCAAGGATTTGGCCCTGGGAATCACCAAACCACTGCACATCACTGTTAGTGTTCTGGATAATAATTGTATCTTTATCAACTATTTTAAGTTTGTTCGTAACAGTTATTAAGCCGTTTGTGCCACCCAAATCTTGTGTATTAGAAATTAACAGTTATAACGATGAAATTCGTTTTAATTATTATATTGTGAATTAAAAAAAAAATAACAATAATAAATGTCCCCCAAAACGCAATATTGATCTAGGGAAACTATTTTTTATGCCCGGTTTCGTTTATCTGTAACCGGGCCGGATGTTTTTGTACACTTTACGCACGCGCATTAGCAAGAAGGAAGATGGCGTCCTTAGCAACAAATCGGATTTTAGGTGCCGTAATATTTTTTATTTAAATATTAACTTCTTTTTGGGGCGATTTCCCCGATTTTTTTTTCTTCCTAGAAATGCAGAAACGAACGAAGTATTAACAACGATAAAATAAAGCATTCATTTACTTTTAAAACACAAGATGAGTTCGCCTTTTTCTAACTTGAAAAGACCAACAAAAGCCCCGCTGCCTGGCTACATAAGGTAATATAAACAATCCATCACAAGAAAACGTTGACGGTTTCGTTTGATTCTTTCTCTCTTTCTTTCTTTCTTGCTTTCTTTCTTTCTTGCTTTCTTTTCATCATCATCATCATCATTATTATTATTATCATTATTATTATTATTATTATTATTATTATTATTATTATTATTTCCTGGGCTTTTCGCATTCGTAGTATTTGTATTTTGTAGAAATTTAATTCACATCTTGGTTTTTCAACACTCCAGGACATTCCTCGGTATCCTAGCTGATTTTACAGAGCTGTTGTCTCTTGATTCTTTAAAATTTGTCTCCCTGATTCCTCTCTCTCGTCTAAACTTTTCCTAGACAATTTTGAGGCTACTCCTGACACTCCAGTAACAATTGGTGTGACTGTCACGTTTCATAATTTCCTGACAAAGTCGAAATAATTATCTTGCTTTTCTTTTCTTCTTCTTCTTCTTCTTCTTCTTCTTCTTCTATTTATTATTATTAGTAGTAGTATTAGTAGTATTATTCACTCACTGACTGATACTCAGTAGTATCAGATGGCTTACAATTGAGACCAAGTGGCAGCAAGTCTCATCAATATATATTTTTTTCAGTAATGCTCTAATTTGGATGGTCTTGACTCCTCCCATGATTCCCAGTTGTTTCTCATTGGTTCTTTCATATTGCTCCCATTACTCCAATAATAACTAGCACAACTGTCACCATCATCTTCCACAACTTGTTCAGATCTCTGATATATCCCCCTTTTTCACTGGCTTTCAAGATTACCCTGTGTCCTTCAAGAGCAATCAAATCCACTGTCATGCATGTTCTTGCTTACAACTACCAAGGCTATACTCCTGTGTGTGAATCTCCAATTCCCACAGGATTCTATGTTATATTCTTTCGAACAGCTTCTGGTCTGTCTGTATAGTATTGGTTTGTGTCGTCAAAATGTAATCACTTGAACGATTCCAAGTGAATCAACTTCCCCTATCAAGTCATGCTTATTCTTATATTCTTTTATAACCATTTTCTACATTCATTTATTATTAGTAGCCCATCTTATGAGTAGAGGAAAGTTAACTTGCCATGAAAGCTCTCTTGCCTGTTTAAAATTTCTGTATAAACCACATTTCCAGCCAGACACCTATTTTATAGATCTTTTTTGTCCTTGTGCTAAGTCAACTTGAATTTACTACTCTGGACAAAGCTATATAAAGTTGACCATGAGAGACATTTTAATAATTTTGTAATGTTAATATATTATTATTATTTTTATTTTCTTTGATTTCTGACGTTTACACATTTCTTTCCGGGTCCGGCCCAGGGACCTAAGGTTAGAAATGGCATCATGACACTTTCCACTGACAAAAAAAAAAAAAAAAAAAAAAATTATTATTATTATTATTGTTATAATTATTATTATTAATAATAATAATAAAAAATAAATTCAGCAAACGGAATATTTTTTTTTCACTTTTTTAAATAATTAAATAGATTATTTTAACTTATTTAGTTAATTCCATAAAATGATTTTCAGTTCCATTCAGTTAATGTAATAATATGAAAGAGGCTCAAGTCACGACACAGTCAGCATCTGTCCCTGTGGTGCAGTCATCTTAACAATGTAGATGACAACAATATTTATTTTTAAATTTATTTTTAAATTTTTTATTATAAATAACACAGAAGATATATTTATTAAAAAATTGTTATGCAAATTAAATTTTACTGTTAATGTTAGAAATGTCATTTGTTGATAAGAAGACTGGTACAACACAAGCAGTTGAGCACTTTGATATGATAGTACCTTTCCTTTGGGCAGGTTTGATCATCCCTCATTTGCATCTCTGCCTTCAGGCAGTGTGTGACTCGGTTATGGCTCTGGGGAAGATAACACTGTGAGGTGTCCAGCCCTGGGGAACAGCTGCCTGAGGCTGCACCCTCTCATGGCACTTGAGAGAGGGATTGGTACTCGCTACTGAGGCTAATGCAACTGGTGGTTGCAGGGGCTTGGGGGATTTTTGTCCTTGAGAGAGGAGCTGGATTTATTGCCCAGTGCTTGTGGTGTCCCCAAAAGGGAAAGTACTAAGGGAGCTTGGGCAATTTTTCCACTATGTTTCTGTTAAGCCCATTATAAACCTCAATCTTGTGTCGCCTTTGGTAGGGACATGTACATGCTGAAAATATTTGGGATGGGGCTGGGGTCATTGCCAGGTGCTTGAGCAATTTTTTACACTACTGCTGAAAACCCATATTTAACTTTGACCTTGCATCACATTCTGTGATCATTCCTTCCAGTATTGATGATGGTTTTCCTTCTGAACCTTTTATTTGAAATGGTGTAGAACGTCAACATGTCATGATGTCATCTTTGATATCCATTTTAGTTGTTGCTGTTATTGAAAGTCCTCAAGTGATGTGGTATCTGTTATTTAGTACAGTTCTTTGTTTGCGATTATATAGCGCCAGTTTGCAATATCTGAAGAAGAATGGTCTTTGCCAAGGCTTCACTCGCTCAAAGCCATTTTTAATCATTGATCTTAGAAAGTGGTTGTATACGGCTGACAATTTAGATATTTCCGAATGGGCTTGAGGCCATGCATGACAGCCATATGAAAGTCTCAGTCTAGTGGGGCTATTTAAGTATATGACTCGAGTTTCCAGATTATTGTTTTGACTATTCTTATGTTTGGGAAAAAAAGACAACCTCAATTGTATACAATTGTCAATGATGTAGGCACAGTTTCAAATTTGACACTTGTAAATAAAAACTAAGTACTGATAATTCTTTAAGAAGTCTGGGATCAATTTGACATTGTATTTATATTATAAACAGGACCACACTTTTGGAATGGGGAAAAATAGTTAATATTTTTCAATTCTGTTATTTGGTCCCCTTCTTTGTTTGTGATTATGAGGTACAAATATACAAAGCCTAATATACCCCTCATGACACACAGTCTGATAAGGCTTTGCTAGACACATGCATCATTACCAAAAAGGCACAAAACTGTGACATGTTCTGATAAAAGCAATGGATAAGTGTGGCTCAATTAGAAATACTTTCAGGTTGGGTAATCTGATCTGCTCAGATGATCTCCAATTGTATGTGCTAACAAGTAACTACATGTAACTTTCAAGCCGCTTTCACTGACTGATCGTTAAATTATTTACACTATATTTGGACTATTCTTCTCATCATTGTTGTTATCACAATGTTTCAGTCGTTGTGCTCTCTGGCCTTCCTCAGGTGTATCAGGTAACATACAAGAAATTCTGAACTGTACCCTTTATATAATTTATGGGAATATACTGTTCTATCCCACTGCTCATGTCTAGACAGTGCATGTGTGTACTACCCCAAACCCCCTGACTGGTGGGTGGGGGTCCCAAGCCTGATTGAGGGTCCAGGGCAGTGCTTCTTGACCCTCATTGTCTTATCAATATTTCATTTTTATTCTACCTACATTTACGTGCATTACAAATTAATCTAAGCACAAATGACTATTAAAGGATGAAAAATTTTCACGGATTCCAATGACATTCTGGTGGTTTTATTTTTGTGTCCAGATCCGTGAATTTGTTTTGCTTATGCTAAATCTAAATAAAAAAAAAACACTATATAAAATTCACTAATTTTTTTACATAATGTTGAATGTATTCACCTTAACAAGAAAAATCTGATGTTGAAGTGAAAAATTGCTGAAAAACATTGTTGATTTATTTAAAATGGTATGACTTGTATTGAATTTCTAATTTTTAGATACATTGTATTTATTTTCAATTTTTCTAGTTGAATTGTTCACTTATATTGCATATGTTCCATTATTGTACATAAATAGGTTACAATAAAATCTTATATAAATACTATCTTATGAAAATTGAGATATAGTACAGTGGGGGCCCCATAGATTGGAGTGGTGGGAGGATATCATCTAGTTCTTTATTTAGTATTTTTATTTAGTACTGTTCAATTATTGCTTATCCATTTCCACTAAGTGCAAGTACGCACTGCCTGATCCAGGAATTGAACTCATAACCACTATGTCACCAAATTGACAAACCATAGTACAAATATAAATAGTGTAAACAATGATAATGCCTCATCTCAGAAATTCAGACAGAAATCATTGCTAAATCTTAAAAAAATCAACCCTCTCGATACCTGGTTATGATGCTTTCCAACTACTCCCGCTCATGAACAAGCGATGCAAAGTTTATCAGCCCAAAGTGGACATGTCCAAATATTTAAAGATCATATTACTGACAAGTGTATCTGTGATATTGAAGTTAAAAGGATATTTACAGTAAGCCAGTACAATCTGAACCACACCAGAATATGACTCCTCAGTGTGGATCAGGTCATCTCACAAAAGGAAAATCAGCCCTACCTTAAACACCGCTTGCAAATTGATCACTGGGTTTATCAAGCCAACCAAAGTACATCACCTCTACTTGCTCCCCTCTACATAAGAGTGACAGTTCACTCCTAGCTCAAGAAGTTGAATCTTCATCATCCATTCCATGGCTGTGAGCAATGGCAAAGAAGCTCAAGTCAAGACATAGCTTTTTACACTCAGCCAAACTACTGAACAAAAGTGATCCTAGTCAGCATCTGTCTCTTTGTTGCAGTCGTCTTAACAACGTAGAACACAGGCTCTCTCTCAGCCCTACAAAATCCCTTTCTCCTGGCTCCAGTACTGCCTAGCCCTTCTGGTCCTGTCTAATTTGGCTTTGAACAGCTGTTGGTCACTGAAGAGTCACCTGCCAGAAATGGAGATATGCTAACGATGATGATCCCAACTGCTAATGTGGATAATCGCAAACTATGTGTCATCTTCTAGTTTGCCCCAATCTTGTCATATACACCTTATGACCTTGAAGCCTCAACACCACAAGCAAGGCTCTGTGTGCAACACTGGATGGGTGTGGTATAGTGACTCAATAAGAGAAGTAACCCATCTTAAATTTACCCAGACAAAACAGGTACATTTTATACCCTCCAACAATGATCAGAAGCCATAAGAGCACTTATTATTATTATTATTATTGTTGTTGCTATTATTATTATTATTATTATTATTATCATTATTATTATATAAGGGTATATTTCTTTCTTCTACAGACCTTTACTTCAAAGCTCATTTCCTGTACACAATTAACAATTCCACTATATCATTATTATTAAGTAAGATCTCATCACGCCAATAAAATTATAATTACAATTATACAAAGCCCAATATACCCAACATGACACACAGTCTGATAAAGGTATACCAGTTACATGCATCACAGCCAAATATGCAAAATATGGTAACAGCTTTTGATAAAAGCAATGCATAATCTCACAGGCGGGACATCATCAGAAATAACTTCAGATTGATAATTGATATTGATAATAATAGCGGCATATCAATCTCTATGGGTTATTTAATGCTGAAATCTAAATATTTTATATGCAATTTTATTTTATTTTTTGGAGATCAATATTGTTTTAATGATACAAATCTTATTAATTAACCCATAGTTGGGGGCAGAAGAGGTGGATTCTGCGCATAAGTGAATATAACAAACACAACTGGAATTGGAACTTTGATTAACAATTGCGAACTCTTATCCATTGCACCACCTGCATATCCAAGTTTACATCAGCTGGAATTCACAAGCGGTCACCCATCTCGGTACTGACCAGGCTTGACATTGCTTAACTTCAGTAATCATACTGGAACCGGAGTATCAACATGACATAGCCACAAGCCTTAATTCCATGGGAAATAATCAATGTAAATATTTGTGCTATCTTTGTAACAGAACTATTCATCTGTAATATTTATACTAATTACTAACCCTCGACTACCCATTTTATCTTGTCAAAAATTATGATGTTACTTTAACAGAAACTAGCAGCATGACCCAGCGTTGCCCGTGCTTGATTCAAAAATTGTACGACTCATACAGCAATCACTATCACTTGACTTAAAATATTTTTGCCCTTCCTTGCCTTTAAACGAGTGCCCTCTGCCGTGCTGATGTTGTTACATGCCTTACTTCTTGCCTATCTCACACTGCAAATTTTTTCTAAGCTCCATACTAAACATTAAATCTGTTACGAAAAAAGAACTAAACAAAATGAACACAAAACGATCAGCTTTAAAAAAGGACTTGTAACTGAAAAACCGAATGAAAAAAGAATATTAACAACAAATACTTTTTCACACCCAACCTAGTTCTGCGGAATCAGAATGAACGTTGAGTTTAAGCAAGCGAATGAGCCAATTGGAGTAAAGTGCCATGCAGATTTAAATTTTTCCCACTTGTGACGAATGCAGCTATCAATTTTTTTGCATGCTAGCATGCTAGTTAACATTCGTGTCAGTCAGCTGTTGGCTCTCACGCTGGCCAATAGAATCTTCCTGCCTATTTGTGGCAGCCAGCTATAGGTTCTCACTCTGGCCAGTAGAAAATAGCCGCAAACTACATGAAAACTGCTGTAGAAGCATGAAAAAGTCGATTATTTCCACTATTGACGGGAGTTGGGAAATGCACAGTTGGTCTTGGCCTTCTCACTAACTTGGAGCATGTGCATGTAAATGTTGGTGCAAATCCATCGAAAATTGCATTCGTGCATTGATTACACACACACACACACACACACACACACACACATCCTGCCTTTTATAGATAGAGATAATGCCTTATTAAATGAAAATTAACTACAATATATTTAAATTAAAGATACTAAAAATTAAAAAAGACATATTTATTAAATTATAATAATGGTTTTAGTGATACAAGTATTACTAATTAACCCATAGCTGGAGGCAGAAGAGGTGGATTCATACCTTTTGCTAGGGGATTTGCGTATAAGTCAATATAATGAACACAACTGGAATTCAAACTTGGCTCTCTGCTTTACAATTCCAAACTATTATCCATTACATCAATGTCAAATCCATGACCCTGATATTCTGGTCAACTTTAATGCCTCAAAAACAAAACTGCTCTCTATTAATCACCACAGAGATCCTTCCCTGCCCTCCATTAGAATGTCTGACGCTCAACTTCTTGAGAGCACCTCTCTGCAGCTGCTCAGTCTCACGTTAACTGCTGACCTGAGATGGAACAAATACATTGAGTCAATTGCTTCGTCCACCACAAGGAAAGTTGGCTCTCTGTAAGGCGCCAGGAAATTTTTCTCCCCGGAATCGATCCTCCAGATCTACAGATCAACAATTCGCCCTTGCATGGAGTATTGCTGCCATATATGGTCTGGATCCCCTTCTGTTTGCCTCGGGGTTCTTGATGAGATACAAAGGCGGATATGCAATATAATTGGCCCTGTTCTGGCATCTCGTCACAGTCGCTCTCTCACAGATGCGCCATCGCCTCTCTCTGTCTTTTCTACAAATACTTTCATGGTAATTGCTCTGCGGAGCTGCATTCGCTGGTTCCCAGACTTCATGAATTCAAGCGCCCTACGAGGCTGGCATCCCTCTCTCACCCTTTCACTGTCGAAACTACTAAATGTAGCCGTCTCTTCTACGCCAATAGCTTCATGTCTCACACCTCTCGCCTGTGGAACCCTCTTCCCTATTCCAGTTTCCTTGAGAGCTATAATCTCCAGCTATTCAAATGTAATGTCAATCGACATCTCCAGTTACCTTGATCTATCCACTATCCTTCTCCTCATCCTTTCCTCAGTTCTTGCTCCAAATTTTCTGTAACCCCTTGTGTCCTAGTGGCTTCTTGCCTTGGTTGGGGTGAATCGCTTAAAAAAAAAAAAAAAAAATTCCCATGTGATCACCATTCTAGCTACTGATGAGGCTTAACTTCAGTGATCATATAGTAACTGGTGTTTCAACGTGATATGGCCATAAGCCCACCTGTAGGTCGAATAACCATGTCTCTTCAGATGGTCTCCAATTGAGAGTGTTCATAAATATCTAGATGTGACTCCCAAGTTGCCTTAGCTCCCGTATCATTCAAACTTTTAAAGATACAACTGACCAGACTTGAATCATTTTCTTCATATTCCATTAGTAAGGAGGAAGTTCCACTTAGCTCCTTCCCAAGAACTTCTACTTTCTTCTCTTCCACAAGGTTGCAGTGTCCAGGGGAAGACTAGAAGAAGTTAAGATTGTAGTGATTAGAGAAGCATCCTCCTGGGAGTCTTATTCCACAAGGTAACAGCTCTTTGGAAGAAGTGTTCAGGGAAGCATCCAGAACAAGAAAGTTTCACTCAGACAGCTTCCTCCTGAGAACAGCTACCTTATAGAATAGGCTCCCGAGAGGATGCTTTCTTAACCTCTACAATCTTAACTTCTTCAAGTCGAGGTCAACTATTATCTATTCTACATATCTTCAATGTCTACACTATCTTGCCTCCCTTACATCCATACAACAACCTCATTCAGCAATGCTCTACTTTGAGTGGCTCTTTGACCTTGTATTGAGGGAACATTTAGTAAAAAAAACCCTCTCAACACTCAGTCACAATTTACCCCACTGCTCTAACTCATTAATACAGATACACATGGTTAAGATCAGGGAATTGATAAAAAATTTATTGAAAAAAATTTACAGAATTATCTAAATAATCAAAATAATTTGTTTAATTAGACTTTCTTAAAACTGTACTGAATTATTTAAACAAGTGAAAACATAGTAAGCTTACTGTATGATTATTTATTTTTTAATAATAATAATAATAATAATAATAAAAACAGGAAATTGTTTAAATGTTTCTCCCATTTGTATAGAAAGAATCTGTACCTGCCATGTCAAAATTCATTTGTAAGTTAGTAAATCTGCAGTGTTCATAATAATAAGCATTGTTGTCATCTGATATTTCACATGATTAAAAATATATTGAACAGAACAAAAAAAACTTAGGTATTATAAAAAGAAGTCAAAATAATCTGTTTAATTAGTTCTTCTTAAAACTGTACTGAATAATTTAAACAACTGAAAAAATAGCAAGTTTGCTGCATTAACTATTATTATTATTAATGCAATTCAAATTCACTTTTTGACTATCACACCTTGGTTCAAATCTCACCATTTGTCAAGAAGCTGGCTTCTTGATGTCATTGGCCTGAAGGAGGCAATCATAGCATGTGGCACCTTTGGAAAGTGCCTGAAAACCATACCATGGGTTGACCGAAGTCTTGTAAGTGAAATTGGGTTGACAGGACCCCTGGGAGCTGTCAGTGTTTGTACTAGCACAAAGTCACAAGTTATGGTAACTGATGGTTTGAGCATGCTAGCCTTGTTCAGGCTGTTAATCATGCTAGATAACACACCCTCTCTCCCAGAAACTAAGGTCAGCTCAGCATATATGCAGTATAAACCACAGGTGGGCTCTGTAGATGTTGGACAAACTCAAATGTGCCTGAACAGGCATCTGCAATGAGGATTAGCTAGCTGCTCTAGTAGACTGGTATCCTTGGATTTGAGTGGTTGCATCATTTACATTTATATTAGTACAAACATGAGAAAATTATTCAAATAAGTAAAATAACATTGTCTGCTAAAATTTGCCAGAACACGCATGTTTGGCTAATTTAGTCTTTCATTCTGAGGTAAATAATTATCAATATTCTTGTATTATTTCAAACTAATGATCGCATCTGGGTTGATATAGATGTTATTATAGACACAATGTTTCGACCATATATGCTCTGGCCATCATCAGGTGTCCACTGATTATGGGATATCTATTTTTTTTGTGATATTTTGTCCCTTTGATGTCAGAAGATATGGTGGAGTAATGGGTAGCTGCTCGGTTTGAGAAATCAGAGCGCCAATTTCATGTTCCAGTTGAGTTCATTGCATTCACTTATGTGCTAATACACTTGGGGAAAGTAAGAATGCATCTTTTCCCCCCAGCTATGGGTAAATAGCAGGACAGACTGGGCCCTATAGCCTTGGTTGGGAACCAGTCTAGGAGAAGTAACACTCTGAATTCAAACCACCTGCTACCTTGTAGGTTTTGCCTCTTTAACTTCTGAGAGGAGGGATGGGGTAACCTCAACATCCCCAGTACAAAATAAACCAGCAAGCCATTGGACTATTCTACCTTGATTGTCACCATGAACCACAATTGTGAAATGGAGGTTAGTGGTGACCACATCAGCACAAAATGCAATTACTGAATAAATGATGATTTCAGTTATTGGTCATTTATACTGAATAGGTGCTTCACTAGTTGATCCCGGGATTGAACTCACAAACACTTGATGCAGTTACAGATGTATAATGAACTCTAAAATCTACTATGATACTGTACCAAAAGACATTAGTCATGTGTTTTTAGAGCCTTTTATGTTCAATGGCTTTGGCATTTGATTATAATGGTGGATTTGTACAGTTGATTATACAAGTGTTACTGTCATCTGAAGAGATACAAGGATACTAACAATTACTCATCTCAGAAATGAAATACTAAATTATAACAAGTGATATGAACCTGCTGCCATCAAAACCAAATGTCAAAACCATTCTTGGGGTAGAAGAGCTGGATCCATGTCTTTTCCAAGGGTACTTGCGTGAAAGTGAATGCACCAGATTAAGCTAGAATTTGAACTCTACATGCTGATTCCACTTTCCACTCTGATAACGATAAAACTACCAACATATTCTACCAATGAAAATGGTTTTGCAAAGTGATTTCATGATATATTTCAGCTATTTTGTGCATGTAAATTATGACTGAATTTCAAGAAATAATTATTTTACTAATTCATTCACTTGATTTAAAATTCATAATTATGGTATTTTTTTCCCTATCCAGGAAATTCCAACTTCCATCTTATCCTGAAACAGAAGAGAAAGGTGAGTAAAAATTTGAGGATTTTGTTCTTAATCCAGTCATTCCAGACAAATTGTGTAATGGAGGTCATGTTGAATAAGCACACTTCTTGGTCATTTCCTTGTAATATGGATTTCTTTTTGGGTTCAATCCTTGGATCTCCACTGTTTCTAATTTATACCAACAACCTCTTTCCAATATCATCAGTTCCCAATAAAGTGTTTGTACAGATGACACAACAACTTAATCCAATCTTAGTAGCAAGTCTGACAGATCCGACAAAGTAAACCTAGCAACTGCTCTCAAAAAAGACCTCCAGTCAGTGTAGTGATTTTCTAATGCCGGCTTAGATGTGGCACAAGGCCGAAATTATGGGGCACCCAGTGAGGATCGAACTCACTACTCAGTTGTAATTGATCTAGCAAGACAAGCTTTCTAACCATTACACCACATCGAGGTGCCCCCTCCAGTCAGTGTAAGTTTTAACAGCTCCGAAACAAAACGGCTTTCCTTTGATTCCAACAGAGAACTTTTTATGTCTGCCATCAGCATGGTTGATGCTAAATTCCAGTAGAGCAACACTGTTCACCTTCTTCTCATGTTTTCCACTGACATGAAGTGGAGCAGTTACATTGAATCAATTGCTAGTTTTACTGCTAAGAAAGTTGATTCACTGTGTCGTGTCAGACAATCTGATCCGTCAGATACTATCTTGCACATTTATATATCTACAGTTTGTCTATGCATTTAAAACAAAAATTACTTATTAAAGAATAGGCAAATTTTTTTTTATTTTAAAATTCGCCTAATACAAGGCTCAAGAGCCGCTCAGGGAAGGTGTTTACAGTTAGAAATGATAAATAAGGTGTGTGATATCAATGGAAGAATGGGTAGATGTAAGTGAGGATTATGAGAATAAGGAGGATAGATAATGATTGACCCATCACCTGAAAAAGTTAAGATTGTAGTTTTCAAGGATTGATTGATTGATTTGTTTCAACTCTTTATGAGCCATTTAATGCTGAAATTTAATTTTCTTGGGAAGTTTGATTACATTTGTTTGTTTAATGGCATATCAACACCTTATGGGTCATTTAATGCTGAAATTTAAATTTCTTGGGAAGTTTGATTAGATTTGTTTGTCTAACAGCATATCAACACCTTATGGGTCATTTAATGCTGAAATTTAATTTTCTTGGGAAGTTTGATTAGATTTGTTTGTTTAAAGGCATATCAACATCTTATGGGTCATTCAATGCTGAAATTTAATTTTCTTGGGAAGTTTGATTAGATTTGTTTGTTTAATGGCATATCAACACCTTATGGGTCATTTAATGCTGAAATTTAATTTTCTTGGGAAGTTTGATTAGATTTGTTTGTTTAATGGCATATCAACACCTTATGGGTCATTTAATGCTGAAATTTAATTTTCTTGGGAAGTTTGATTAGATTTGTTTGTTTAAAGGCATATCAACATCTTATGGGTCATTTAATGCTGAAATTTAATTTTCTTGGAAAGTTTGATTAGATTTGTTTGTTTAATGGCATATTAACACCTTATGGGTCATTTAATGCTGAAATTTAATTTTCTTGGGAAGTTTGATTAGATTTGTTTGTTTAAAGGCATATCAACATCTTATGGGTCATTTAATGCTGAAATTTAATTTTCTTGAGAGCTTGGATGTAATAAAAATGTTATTCTGCTTTCACAATTGAATACATGGCAGGTGATACTCAGCTTTTGTGGACATGCATGTTTGCATGAACATGATTACTACAGGCAGATGATATGTGTGTTTTATGTTGTAGTTTTGCTGAAGTTATATTTTGGAATACAGTTTGACTTAGGAAATTGTTAGATATTATTTGGCTTAATGTTATGAAAGAGTTCTTTCAGGTTGAGACGCTTGCAACATTTCATCTTTGGGAAAGGGGTTGTAGTAACTGGGGAAGCACCGTCTTGAAGGTCTGTTTAGTTGTTGGGGAGAAGCTGCCTGTGTGAATCTTCCTCTTTACCAATGGAATATGAAGGGAATGATGATTAATAAACTTGGCATACATGGCCTGGTTGGTCCGAGCTGTGAAGGTCTGAACTGGTGGAGCCATAGAATGCATTTTGGATACACATCTGCCATGGAAATAGCAATAGAATAGTGAGAGACTAGTAATATTTTTTCTGTGGGAAAGGAATTCCCACATCACTCACAAGGCCGCAAAATAGCTTTTGAACACTGTTGAGTTTAGGAAGTGTCTTAGTACAAAATAGATGTAACCAGCATCAGCTACAATTTAAACTTTGTCAGTTCATTTTTCTCAGTTAAGAACTGCTACCCTTACCCTGTGTCCTTATTCACCACATTATTCTATGATACAGTGGCAGAATCACAGATGTGAATTGTTTCGGACAAGACATATTTTAGGAATTCAGAATTATTCAGATTTTCGGAATTTGTCTCATTCGTGAATTTTTTACCGACATAACAAACTGCTTGTTTGTTTCTTTTTAAATATCATTTGTTTTTTTCTTTCCAGAAACTGAACATCTTTTGGAAGAAGTTGCCACTGATATTGCCAACAGGCGTTGTCATTCCCAAGAGAACCTTCCTGAAAAACTGAAACTTCCTCAAACTTCTGTATTGTCAAAGGCTCCCAACATATCCACAATTCAACCACAAAGTAATCCATGTTTCTCATATTTTCTTATGTCACATTAAAGAGCACCAATATATATATATATATATATATATATATATATACACACATATATATATGTGTGTGTGTGTGTAGAATGTATATGTTCTAAAAATAGAAATAGACAGAAAAGATAACCTTAGAAAAATACTAGAGGAACATGAAGACAAATGGATTTTGCATCCCAAAACAGTTTGTTCAGATGGACTTAACCACAAATTTAACAACACAGAATTAATATATAATCCCATAAATCAAGCCCTACACACATTTCTCATCAGCACAAAACAGAAATACTTGCAGAGGTGTTGAGGTCTCACACATATACACACACTCATACAAATATATGCACATACACACATCACACACACTCCCAAACAGCTAAAAGATAACATACACTTATCACACACATCTCCTTCCCAGCAACCAATAAAACTGTCAAAATGACCAAGGAGGGAAATCTGAGACTCCGGCTTCTCCCATCCGCTATCTTAAAAACAATTTGAATGCGGTCGTTTAACCAATAAAAAGGAGTGACCAAAATTAACAATAAAAAACAAATGAAAATTACAGATAATGTTCACTTTCTTCACAGACATTCACTTATGCAGTTCACTGCTACTAACAAGCAGGGATTTGTTTTTCTCTCGATGATGGCCATAATTGAAATAATAAAACAAAAAAATATTAATATACAACCCAGTGTGTCTGAAAATTTTAATTTTTTGATATTTTTTATTATTCATATATATATATATATATATATATATATATATATATACATATAAATATAGATAACTAGACTCGTTTTGAAAAACCCTCGAATTTTTGATTTGCTAATCAAATCAATCTCGAGGGAAAAAAAGGTTTTAAAAAAAGAAAGAGCTACAAACATGGACTTCTGCCGACAAAAAAAAAATCGCACAGATGCAGGTCTGAAGCCCAAAGAAAAAACCCCGATACGAGTAACAACTAACTAACAAAAGAGCTCAATACAACCGTAGAGCAGACCTAGATACACCTAGTGAGCCAGACAAACCTACCTAGGTTTCACCTAAACGGATCGTCAGGGAAAGTATATATATATATATATACACACATACAATAATAAAGGGTGTTCCAATAATTTGTATCGATTTTAATGTGAATTAAGTTTAAGCGTCAAGTGATTTTTTTCGTTTTCTTTAGCGGATATTTGGGTGATATTATTTTTCACACATAATTGCCATGACTTAAGAGAAATACATAAATTATCACCTATAACACTGATTTATTTACTGCTGACTTTGATCCGTCTTAATGAAACAGCCTTATATATAATCCGTCTTAATGAAACACCCTTATATATACTCCGTCTTAATGAAACACCCTTATATATAATCCGTCTTAATGAAACACCCTTATATATAATCCGTCTTAATGAAACACCCTTTATAAAGAACAAATAGGAAACGTTTATCAAACTAATATGTTTCACTTTTATTAAAGCATTGTCAGAGAATGAGGTATGGATAAAAAGAAAGAAGAAATTCTGGTACTTTTACTTTTGCGTTGTCTGGTTTTCATTAGTCACTCATGTATCCTATGTATTCGATTCTTTAAACCAACTTTACTATAATTATTAATGAAAAATAGTGCATATTTTTTTAGTAAGGTTTCTCAAATATTCAGGCCTATAGATGAAAATAAATAAATATATTGTTTAATAAATAAATGGTGTGTCTACCCAAATATGAGTATCTATTAAAAAATAATTTTTAAGTATACTTGGGCAAAAGTGCTCAATCCCAAAATAGCAGAGCATTATATTTTAGATAATAATGTCAGGCATATCTATAACTGCCAGTTTCATACATGCTGTTGTATACAGTCATCAGGCAGCCAATGTTCAGTTTCTTGGGAATATGGGCATTTATACTCACCTCATCTAAGGGTTCACCAACTGAAATTGTTCAGAGAGAAAATACCCTTACCGTGAATGATGGAATTGTCAAACATCACTTTTATTTGAAGGAAGAAAAATAAAAACCTCCCCCAAAATACCAAAATAACAGATTTATCAGCATGAAAGAAGTTTCTTTATTATTCAGAAAACATTCATCATTCATTGACTGAGCAGCAAGTACTGCTTCTGGTTGAAATTTATAAAATCTTTCTCTTAAAACAATTTTTCAGGAAAATATGTTTTTCAAGTTCAGTAGCAATTATCACTCTTTCCAGTATTGATACAGGTTTCCTTCCTAATGTTTTACTTGAAGTAGTGTGGAATGTCAACATCTTGATTATGTAACTATTTTCTCTTTGAGTTATATGTAATATCCATTTTAGTTGTTGCTGTTATTGAAAGTTCTCAAGTGATGTTGTTTCTGTTATTTGGTACAGTTCTTTGTGATTCTGTAACACCAGTCCACAAGGATCAAAGGGGTGTGGTCTTCACTAAGACCCTCAGGCTTCACTCGCTCAAAGTGGTTGTATACAGCTGACAACTTAGATATTTCTGAACGGGTCATCTTTGATATCCATTTTAGTTGTTGCTGTTATTGAAAGTTCTCAAGTGATGTTGTTTCTGTTTTTTGGTACAGTTCTTTGTGATTTTGTAACACCAGTCCACAAGGATCAAAGGGGTGTGGTCTTCACTAAGACCCTCAGACTTCACTCGCTCAAAGAGGCTGTATACAGCTGACAGCTTAGATATTTCTGAATGGGTCATCTTTGATATCCATTTTAGTTGTTGCTGTTATTGAAAGTTCTCAAGTGATGTTGTTTCTGTTATTTGGTACAGTTCTTTGTGATTCTGTAACACCAGTCCACAAGGATCAAAGGGGTGTGGTCTTCACTAAGACCCTCAGGCTTCACTCGCTCAAAGAGGCTGTATACAGCTGACAGCTTAGATATTTCTGAATGGGTCATCTTTGATATCCATTTTAGTTGTTGCTGTTATTGAAAGTTCTCAAGTGATGTTGTTTCTGTTATTTGGTACAGTTCTTTGTGATTCTGTAACACCAGTCCACAAGGATCAAAGGGGTGTGGTCTTCACTAAGACCCTCAGGCTTCACTCGCTCAAATGGTTGTATACAGCTGACAACTTAGATATTTCTGAACGGGTCATCTTTGATATCCATTTTAGTTGTTGCTGTTATTGAAAGTTCTCAAGTGATGTGGTATCTGTTATTTAGTACAGTTCTTTGTTTGCGATTATATAGCGCCAGTTTGCAATATCTGAAGAAGAATGGTCTTGGCCAAGGCTTCACTTACTCAAAGCCATTTTTAATCATTGATCTTAGAAAGTTGTTGTATACAGCTGACAACTTAGATATTTCTGAATTGGCTTGAGGCCATGCATGACAGCCATATGAAAGTCTCAGTCTCGTGGAGCTATTTAAGTATTGACTCGAATTTCCAGATTGATGTTTTGACTATTCTTATGATTAGGAAAAAAAGACAACCTCAATTGTATACAATTGTCAATGATGTAAGCACAGTTTCAAATTTGACACTTGTAAATAAAAACTAAGTACTGATAATTCTTTAAGAAGTCTGGGATCAATTTGACATTGTATTTATATTATAAACAGGACCCCATGTTTGGAATGGGGAAAAATAGTTAATATTTTTCAATGCTGTTATTTGGTCCTCTTTGTTTGTGATTATGAGGTACAAATATACAAAGCCTAATATACCCCTCATGACATACAGTCTAATAAGGCTTTGCTAGACACATGCATCATTACCAAAAAGGCACAAAACTGTGACATGTTCTGATAAAAGCAATGGATAAGTGTGGCTCAATTAGAAATACTTTCAGGTTGGGTAATCTGATCTGCTCAGATGATCTCCAATTGTATGTGCTGACAAGTAACTAGATGTGACTTTCAAGTCGCTTTCACTGGCTGATCGTTAAATTATTTACACTATTTGTATTTGGACTATTCTCCTCATCTTTGTTGTAAATAAAAAAAGAATGGTCTTTTCCAAGGCTTCACTCACTCAGTACCATTTTTAAGCATTTATCTTAGAAAGTGGTTGTATACAGCTAACAATTTAGATATTTCTCAACATGTTTGTGGCCATGAATGATATATATTGATAATGTCTTGATTTGATGAGACAGGTTGATATTTTGACTACTCTTATGATTGGGAAAAGGGACAACCTCAGTTGTACGCAGTTTTCAATGATGTAAGCACAGTTTCAAACTTGACACTTGTAAATAAAAACAAAGTACTGATAATTCTGACACTAATGGATTGCCATTGCTTAAGTTTTGGATATAATAACAAAATGGTGCAAAGTCAGCAGAGGGTTACATGAATTTTGAAGTGTCAATATCCTTTCTGCACCCAGATTCCTTAATGAGGCTAGGCCCCATGTGGTGGAATGCTAAGCCAATAAGCATGTGTTCCCCTGAAGTTTTTCAACTCGAAATTCCCTGAAGCATACTGGAATTGACAGACTCTTAAAGAAGGCCAGAGGGCATAAATGTTGTAGATAGATAGATAGATAGATAGATAGATAGATAGATAGATACAACAAAGATGCAGATATTAGTCTGATTGAAAATAATATTCACAATGCTAATTCCTCATCCCAGAAACTCAAACAGAAATCCAGAAGGCATCAAAAGTTTGTCAAAATATAAATGCAAGAAAGAATTAATTTGGAAGAATCAATGTATAAAAGTAAAATTGAATTGTCTTATCAGCTCAAGTCAAGATAATAACTTGGGTAAAAGGAAGTAAAATTAGAGTTTGCAATGACTGGTTATCAATTTTACTGATAATTGACGTATTTTAAAAGTAATAATTATTTTATGATATATACTTCTCATTATTTATGGGCTTTAAATAAAGTTAACTCTTGAGGGTAACAGCTTTTTTTTTAGTTGCAAGTTGGGTAATTATGGTGTGCTCAGATGCTTACTCATTCTTCTCAGTCAACCATGGATGAAATATCTATTCTTGTTCATATCTATTTTAACCTGTTGACATGTATGTATGTATCTATCTGTCTAAATCTGTTAAAATCCATCACAGTCTGTTCATATCTATCTATGCATCTACCTAGCTCAGTCTGTTCATATCTCTCTTCAGCTAACTTGTTATCAATCTTGCAGTCTGTTCAAATCTATCTATCTATCTATCTATCTATCTATCTATCTATCTATCTATCTATCTATCTATCTATCTCAGTCTGTTCATATCTATATATCAGTTTATCTCAATCCATTCAAATCTATCTATCTATCTATCTATCTATCTATCTATCTATCTATCTATCTGCATCTATCTCAGTCTGTTCATATCTATCCAACTAGCTAGTTATCAATCTTGTAGTCTGTTCAAATCTATCTATCTATCCATCTATCTATCTCAGTCTGTTCATATCTATATATCAGTTTATCTCAATCCATTCAAATCTATCTATCTATCTATCTATCTATCTATCTATCTATCTATCTATCTATCTATCTATCTATCTGCATCTATCTCAGTCTCTTCATATTTATCCAACTAGCTAATTATCAATATATTGCAGTCTGTTCAAATCTATCTAAATCTATCTATCTATCTATCTATCTATCTATCTATCTATCTATCTATCTCAGTCTCTTCATATTTATCCAACTAGCTAATTATCAATATATTGCAGTCTGTTCAAATCTATCTATCTATCTATCTATCTATCTATCTCAGTCTGTTCATATCTATATATCAGTTTATCTCAATCCATTCAAATCTATCTATCTATCTATCTATCTATCTATCTATCTATCTATCTATCTATCTATCTATCTGCATCTATCTCAGTCTGTTCATATCTATCCAACTAGCTAGTTATCAATCTTGTAGTCTGTTCAAATCTATCTATCTATCTATCTATCTATCTATCTATCTATCTATCTATCTATCTCAGTCTGTTCATATCTATATATCAGTTTATCTCAATCCATTCAAATCTATCTATCTATCTATCTATCTATCTATCTATCTATCTATCTATCTATCTATCTATCTGCATCTATCTCAGTCTGTTCATATCTATCCAACTAGCTAATTATCAATCTTGTAGTCTGTTCAAATCTATCTATCTATCTATCTATCTATCTATCTATCTATCTATCTATCTATCTATCTATCTATCTATCTCAGTCTCTTCATATTTATCCAACTAGCTAATTATCAATATATTGCAGTCTGTTCAAATCTATCTATCTATCTATCTATCTATCTATCTATCTATCTATCTATCTATCTATCTCAGTCTGTTCATATCTATATATCAGTTTATCTCAATCCATTCAAAACTATCTATCTATGCATATTCATCCATCTAAGTCTGTTCATATCTATCTATCTATCTATCTATTTATCTATCTATCTATCTATCTATCTATCTATCTATCTATCTATCTTTTCATTTTCATCTATTTCAGTTTGTTCATATATATCTATCTCCAACTATTCATATAATGACAATAACAATAATTGATCATGTGTAGACAACATGTGGTCTATTTGGCAGACTGACTCAGTAGACGAATGTTGGCAAAAATAAAGAAATACACAGAAAATGGATATGGACAGTCTGCTCATTTTTTTTTTTGTTTTAAAAAATATTGTTTCTTTTCTATTTGCAGAAACTGACCATCTTTTGAAAGAAGTGTCCTCTAATGATGCCAGCAGGCGTTGTCATTCCCAAGACAATCTTCCTGAAAAACTGCACCTCCCTTGCACATCAAAGTCATCTTCTGTATTGCCACTGGCTCCCAACAAATCTGAGACTCAACCACTAAGTAATCATTCTTTTTGATTCTCTAATATCATGGTTTTCATGAAATTAATTTCCCTGTATTTGTTCTTAGTTTTTACCATAATGTTTCAGTTGCCTGCATTCTGGTCTTCCTCAGGAGTTGTTTTGGAATGTTGATGACTCTTATTCTAGGTTTACATGCACTTCCTTTCTCATATAAAAAAAAAAAAACTGGACATGTCACAGATGAAAGGTGTGTGCATATTCTGCATAGAATATTTACCAACATGTATGGCTGATATCTTATATTTGAATATACCTATCTTCTAGGGTGGGTAGCTAAACCCTATTGCAGACAACTGCTCAAAAACATTTGTGTTTATTTAACAACCCCAGAGCAGACCTGCAATTTTTACTGTAACTAAGCTGAGTAGACTTTAGTTACAATTTCTCTAATTATTAGGTTGGTGCAAAAATAATGACGTAATAATGTCGTTTTTGACGTATTTTTAACGTCAAAAACAGCATTCTTACGTCATTATTTTTGCACCAACCTAATAACACATGGTATGGTTTTCAGAAAAAATTTCCAACAGTGTCACATGCTTGGATTGTCTCCCTTGGTCGATATTATCCAGGAGTCACTTCCCAGACAAATCAGCCATGTTGAAATTTGAATCCAGGTCTCAGGGTCAGAAGGCTGATATTCTAACTTACAGGATGGCGAATGATTGGGCAGAATATGTTATGGGCAAGTAATTCGGACAGTGATGAATTGCCTTTGTCTAAGTTTTGGAGTTGCAAGATTTTCCAAGGATCGATATGCTTTCTACACACAGATTCCTTAAAGACACTAGGCCGCATGTGGCAGAATACTAAGTTCATACACCTACTACCTCCTAGAATTGATGCTACCACATCCATCCCTCTCATATAATAAAACAAATAAGAAAAAGAAATCATTTTTTATTGATACAGTCTATAGGATGGCATTGGAATCTGAGGGGCTGAAGCCAGTGATGATATGGTGATTTTCTAAGTGTAGCTTAGATGTGGCACAAGGCCAAAAGTATGGGGCACCCAATGAGGATCAAACTCACTACTCAGTTGTAATTATTCTAGTGTGACAAACTTGCTAACCATTAAACCATGTTGAAGTGCCCAAATGATTTTCTTAGCATAATCTTAGATGTAGTAAAATGCCGAATGTATGAGGCACCCAGTGAGGATCAAACTCACTATTCAGTCATAAGTGATCTAGCAAGATAAGTTCCCTAGCCATTATGCAAAGACAAAGTGCCCAAATCCAGTGATGATAAGGAATGCAGCATGATCACTCAGCTATGTGCTCCCTAAACAACATAGCAAACCGCAAAAGACATCTGCGTGAAGTGAAGAGGGACAACTGCTGAAACATTAAAATATTATCTTTATTATTTAAATTTGTTTTACACCAATCTCCCAAATTTGGGAATAAAATTCAAAATCCATACCTTTATCTGAAAAAAATGGTGGTGGGGGAACTTTATAGTATGTTATCGAGAAATTCCTCCCATTTGGGAACAAGTGACACCAAGTCCAATATGAAGGTTAACAATGTAAACAAGACAGTGAAGGAAAACAAATGACAAAAATGCTCAATGTTTATAGAAATAAGAAAGAGAAACTTTATTTTCTATATAAACAACTGTTAGATGTAGACATGCATGAATAATACTCGAACGGCACTAATGGTTGGTTTAAGTGCTATGGGATTATCCCCAGTCTTTTAACATCCAACATGTAAGTAAAATGATTTTTTGGTACTTACTAGCAGAATGAAAAAGATATCTCTGCTCTTTTCATCAGAGCTATTGTTGTTTTTGTTTTTTTTAAGTTTCATATGACCACTAAGTGTCTTAATAACAGTTTTAAATTTAACCCTTTAAAATCTTGGCTTACACTGCCAGATATTTCAGTTAGCTACGTGCCATGCATGAAAAATGCTTAGGTGATCATGTATCTTTTGAGGCAGATTTTTTCCCAGCAGTGGGTTGTCATTTTTTCTGCAGTAGACTAGTTGTCATCCAAGGCTATAGAACCCGGTCTGTCTTGCTATTTACCTATAGCTTGGAGGTGGGGAGAAGAAGAGGATTCGTACCTTTTCCAAGGGTATTAGCACGTAAGTGAATGTAATGGATTTGACTGGAATTCGAACTTGGCTCTCCGATTCCTATTTAAAAATGCATTATTTTAGCTCATGAAATTACTATCTTTGTGAAGAGATCTTTCACTCGGTTCTGTGGTTATCGGTCGTCATGGAGATGCTGATAACACCTGCTGTACTGTGACGTACCTTCTTGAGTTGAAGGAAGAAGGGTTACTAATTTCACTCTACCTTTTGGCTAAAGGGGCTGACCAAATCCCCTGAGCCACTACTAAAAAAACTTCCTGAAAGATGCATGAGTATCTCTAAGCATGGCTAAACTCAAATAAGTCAATTTGCCTATGCATGAGAAGACCATATATGGGCAAAATAAAAAAATCAGTTACCTTTTCAACATTAAAGCAGACAGTAATAAACGTCTGTGAGATAAAAAATCATTAAACTAGCAGACATGTCTGCTAATATTTTGTCACTTGAATACATTATTTTTTAAATTTTAAATTAAAATACAGTATTAAAATGTGAAAAATAAAGAAAATATTTTATTGTTTTAATATCCAACATATTTTTTTAGGTGAAACCTATTTTTAATGGGTGATGGAAAATGCATCACAGAAGTCTAAAGACATATTGGAATACTGAAAGATGCCTTCCAAAAATGGAAGTATAAAGAATTAGGAAAATTTTATTAAAAACTATGAAAGAGTGATGAATTGGTATGTAATATCAGTCCTGCTATATGACAGTGAATGCTGGACAATTTCCTCACAGATGAAGAGGATACTCAAGACAAGAAAGAATGCTGGGAGTACCATGGACGGAGCATGTGAACAATGAGGAAGTATTAAGGAAAATGGAAACGGAAAGGAAACTTATACTTAGAATCAGAAAGATACAGTTGAAATTTCTGGGACGCATAATGAAGAAAGAGGTTCTAGGAGAATTTGACACCCATAAGATATTTTGAGGGCAAAAGAAACAGAGGGAATCAGCGAGTATCTTATTTAACAAGCTGGTGTAAACGAAGCAGTGGGAAGGATATTAAAAAAGCAAATATTACAAAGAGCTACAAAAGATAGGAAGTTGTGAAGAGCCACAATCTAAAGAGACATGGCATACAAGAGAAGAAAAAGAAAAGGTGTGTTTAGACAAAACTTTTGAGGTTGCAGTAATGGTCTTTTATCTGCACGCCTACTTGATCAAAAATAAAAGGAAGTGACGCTTTCAGAAAATTATGCCACCTGCAATTAATTGATGTGCATTTAAACAAGAAACTGGAAGAAAGTTCCATAGGTGAGAAGTGCAAGAAAAGTAGCTATTAGAATAGAACTTAGGGTTACATCTTGCTATTCAAGTGTATAATAATGAGACCTAATTTCCAATCTAGTAGTATGTTTAAATCCCTGCAGTTGAGGTACTAAGGGGGAGTGCTCATTAGAAAAAGTTCTATGAAAATATTTGCAGAAAAGACCCAGGGAAGCCAGGTCAAGACAGATAACACTACAGACCATTCTTTGGATGTTGTCAAGAATCTTGAGATATATAATCGAAGTATCAAGCCAGATATGGCAGCAATATTCAATGCTCAGATGAATGATAGATTTATAAACATGCATGATAGATTCTAGTGAGAAAAATTGTCTGGTACAATTGCCTAGTAATAAACCTAGCAATTGATTCAATGTAATCATTTCACTTTATGTCAGTGGAAAATATGAGACAAGAAGGTGCAATGAATTTCTCTCCTGGATGTTAATATCGGCTGTACTGAGCATAAGCAAAAAATGATTCTCTAAGATGACTAAAAGACAGCAGTTTTGTGTTGGAGGTACTAAAATTTACAAGCTATTTCTTGCCCCAGTTAACAATTGATTGGAAGTCACTTTTGAGATCAGTGACCAATTTTATTTTATCTACCTTATTGGACTTACTATTAAGAAGGAAGTAAATGTGTCATCAGTATAAAAGCCATTTTGGAAGCTGATGACATCAAGAAGGTCATGAATGAAGGTAAACGATTTAGGTACAAGGATTGAGTCCTAGGCAGGAACCTGCATTAATGTGAAAGGAATTAGAAGAGTAAACATGATTAGACCAAATCAAAAATATGAGCACAGACACCATAACCCTTGAGCTTGAGTTTGATATATCTAAAGCCACAGCCCAAGCATTGTCCTTCTTATCTAATACTTGAAAATGCTGTTTTAATTCAAAGACAAAGTAATTTGCTAAAGAAAAATATATAGAAAGTGCACTGATTTCTGAGTCTTCCCTAGTAAATTTGCTTGCAGGTTATGACAACATTTTAAAAAAAATCTGTTGTCATAGCATAGGATATTTAAAAACAACAGCGATAAAAACAAAAACTTAGCTGTTAGGAAAGTGGATGCTGAGTAGAGTAACTGAATGTTACTTCTTCGATCACTTAGTAGAGAATATGGCTCTTTTGTTCATGATCATTCTTATTCCAATTATGAATACCTATGTCATCAGCATAAGCCCTCCAATAATATCATCAATACTCTGGCTTTGGAAGATTTGAAGTCATTGAATGTTCCTACACAATCCCCAGGTAAAATTCCTGAAGGGATAAAGTACTTTCATGCTGTAAATATATTTCTGTGTATTCTAAGAGGTAAAAAAATTGTCTTTTTTGTGGTTGGCATAAAATAGAGCAAGGCTTTCAAAAATTGTTCTGCCTGTAATTCTAAGCCAGGAGAGCTAATCCAACAGTGTTTTAGTTTTTTTTTTTTTTTAATTGATTTTTTACTCCAAACAAGGCTGTAAAGCTACTAAGACACAAGGGGTTACTGTGTTTAAAAGAACGAGAAAACCTTATTAAGGAGCAAGAACAATAGAAGAGCTGTCAGGAAGACAGTAGATAATGATTGATTTTGCATTTAAATTTTTGAAGATCAAAGTTGATTAGAAAGCCTGAAGCTGGAAACGAGTTCCACGAGCGAAAAATACAAGAAAAGAAACTGTTAGCATATAAGTTACCGTTTCATCTAGCAAACTCAACTGTAAATTGATGAAACCTTGTTACATACCTAGTAATGCACTTAAATAAGTGTAGGTACCATAATGAAAAGCTCATTCAAACAATTACCATGAAACTATTTATAAAAATGGCAGAAGGATGCATCTTTATGGTGGTGTAGATGTGACTGAATCCAAGTCACCAGGTCAGGACTAATAATATTGCTGATTTTTCTTTGGATTTTATCAAGAGTCTCTAAATAAATAGCAGGAGCACCGGACCATATGTGGCAGGAATATTCTAAGCATAGATGAATGGTAAACTTAAAGGTATGTAAGATAGATTCTGGAGAGAAAAAAACAGTGTGGCACGATGCAGTGAACCAACTTCCTTAGCAGCTGACCTAGCAATAGATTTATTGTGGTTTATCCAGATGCAACGATTCACCCTTTTAGAGTTTAGCATCAACCATGTTGATGAAAAGCAGAAAGTGATCCTTGAGATGATTTAAAGAGAGAAGTATTTATAGAGAAAAGGCACTGGGAAGCTACACTATGGCGGTGAGAAAGTGACTGAAGCCGAGCTGCCAGATCAAGACCAATAATATTGCTGATTCTTGTTTGGATTTTATCAAGAGTCTCTAAATATATAGCAGGAGCACCAGGCCATAAGTGGCAGGAATATTCTAAGCTTAGATGAATGGTAGACTTATAGATATGTATATCTAGCACGACACAGTGAACCAAATTTCTAAGCAGCAGACTTAGCAATGGATTCAATATAGTCTTTCCACTTCATGTCAGCCGAGAACGTGAGCCCAAGAAGTCACAATGAGTCATTTTCCTGGAGGTTAGCATCAGCCATGCTGATTGGAAAGCAAAAAGGGTTGTTGGGTTGACAGATTCTTGATTATGAATTTAATATGCCAATTAACAAAATATATTGGCTTACTTTTCCAGAGGGGACTGAGCTGATGAATTTGGATAGAATTTTCTAAAATATATTTCTGTTCTGTATCTTGTAGAAGAAGCACCATCTGACAAAGAACTAATGTCACTGATGATGGGAAGGATTTCTGCCTTAGAAGCCAAAGTATATAGTCAGAATAAAGAACTTATTCAGAAGGTAAGTAAAAATATTTCTCTGGTTTGTCTTTCAATGTTGGAGGCTTGAGTAAATTTGGTTTTAATTGATTGATTTGTTTTCTACAGTTTATCAATGCAAGTTATTTAAAGCCCGAATGTTTTTTTTTTGAGATAATAATGGTTTCTTAATACAAGTCAAGAAGAAGTACGGTCGAATAATGGATAACATTTTGAATTGAGGAATCAGAGAGCCGAGTTTGAATTCCATTCGAATCCATTACATTCACTTATGTGCTAATACCTTGGGAAAGATATGAATCCATTTCTTCTCCCCCCAGCTATGGATAAATAGCAGAACAGACTGGGTTCTATAGCCTTGGATGGCAACTGGTCTACTGCAGAAAGAAATGGCAACCTACTGTGAGAAAAATCTGTCTTGTCAATCATGTATCAAAAGATACATGATCGGCTAATCATGTATCATTCATGGCACATAATTGACTGAAGTAAAAAAAAAATCACCTTCTTTTTCAGGAGGCATGGTGGAGTAATGGATAGTGGCTCAGAGTGAGGAATTGGAGAGCTGAGTTCAAATTCCATTCACATCCATTACATTCACTTATGTGCTAATACCCTTATGAAAGGTATGAATCCTCTTCTTCTCCTCCAAGCTATGGGTAAATAACAGGACAAACAGTTCTGTAGCCTTGTATGGCAATTGGTCTACCACAGAGAGAAATGGCAAACTACAGCAGGAAAAAATATCTGCCTCGTCAAGTCATGTATCAAAAGATAGATGATCATTTAAGCATGTTTCACGTATGGCACATAACTGACTGAATACAAGTCTTCCTAATTAACCCCTAGGTGGGGGGATAAGAGGTGGATTCATACCTAATCAGAATTTGTTCAACAAACAAGAAATTATAATATGGATATAAAGTGAGAGATCAATTCTGTATTACAATCAATATGTAAACTTATCCCTCACTTTGTGGCCAATGTACTTTGTATACATTTATATTCTAGCAAATGTAAATAAATCCTGTGTAGCTAATAGATATTTCACTGATTGATTGATTCGTTTTCTATGACTTATCAAACCATGTCTTACTAATTAACCCATAGCTGGGAGAAGAAGAGGTTGATTCATACTTTTCCCAAGGGTAAGTGACTATAACAAAGCCAATTGGAATTGGAACTTGACTGTCCGATTAACAATTTGATCCATTATCCATTACTCCATCGGTATACCCGATCTTACAGCACCTGGTATTCCCAACTGGTCACCCATCTAGATACTGATGAGGCTTGATGTTGCTTAACTTTGGTAACTAGTGTTTCAATGTGATTTAGTTGTAAGCCCTTGACTTTTCCATTGTGATAGGCTGAGGTGAGGATGAGAGTTTTGGCCTCATAAAAATATTCAGCTCATTCGCAAATAAAAAAGAAAGGAGTGAAGAAATCAAATAAAGTATAAATCCCAAACTTTTTATGTTCTAGAAAATTGTTGAGGTGATTTTTGCAAAAATTGTTTTTTAACATTTTTTTTAGTCCAGTTTCTTCTTATGAAAACAGTTTTCATACAACACGAAATACACTAGGCACAGGAAGATTTTTTACTGACTTTCTCTCGGACTGTTACCCCCATTTGCTACTCAGGCTATCATGTGGATTCACTACTTGATATGTTGTCCCTTTACTTATACCAGGCACATGGACATAGTAGGAGGCACAAAAAGTGTGTGACTAACAGAAAAATGTGCAGGTCTTTTTTAAAATGCATTACTTGAGTATAAAATTTGTAATAACTTAATAGCTATACATGCTAAAAACAGATTTTCAGATATGTTTTAAATGATGTGAGATCTTTCTCCGTAAATTATGATTAAATTGTATTTTAATGCAATATCCATCTAGTAGGGATATTGTATCTTAATAATTTTCAATAAAAATAATTTTTTATTTTCAGTGAAACTGATTAACACATGTTCAAATAATATATCTTCTATAATCTAAATATGTTTAATTTGTTTAAGTTTTTCTTCACAAGCACAACATATAAACATATATATATATATATATATGGCTTTGAAAATGATGGAACACACCTTTTACCTTTTTCAGTTTCACCGTTAAAAGAATGCATTCCGTCATTTTCAATGCCATATATAAATTATGTTATATATATATATATATATATTATAAATTTATGCTCTGTAGATTTGCATTGAGCACTGTTTTGTAAAAATAAAAATATTAATAAGAACACTGGATTATATATCTTACTGTTCTTTCTCTTTTATTATATATATATATATATATATATATACTGGTAGTAAAGCAAAATTGTCCAATTGTTAGATTAAGCTTTGAACCATTGTATTTTAGAAATGATTAAAAATATCTTACAGGAATTCTCCAAGGTTTTTATAAAACTATTGGACTCTACTTTGTATAGTAACAATATATTTAGTTTTAAGTTGAAATGATGATCCCTCTTGCTGTTGTGACCTCCTGATCCAGTTTTTCTCTTTACTGTTCCCTCTTTTTTAAACTTATTCACCATTCTTTTGATGTTCCTTGAATGGACTTTGAAAATAGAAGCCAGTGTATGAAATGTTGGTACCATTACTGAAGGCCTGAATGATCTTTTTCTTCACACCATTGCTCACTTGGAAAGACATTGTGGGGCTGACACAAAATGATTTTAACTTGTTCTCTATCTAACTAAATAACTCTGGTTTTTGCGAAAAATGGTATCACAATGACCAAACATCTTATCTGAAAACTTGGAAAAAAGAAACTCGATTAGTTTAGAGTTTTTTTACATATTAAACATTTTGTGGGATGGACAATTACCATATGCTGTTACACGTTTTGTACAATTTTGCTGTTACACCTGGTATATATATATATATATATATACCAGGCCTGACGATTGCATCTAACATGAAAACAGACTGTCGCCTCTAAGTGTTGACTTCTATATTCACTTTTATATATATATATATATATATATATATATATATATATATATTGTCCTCTACAGACAGACTGTTTTGCTGTATCATAGTTCATCAGTGTGGCTAGACGTCCGGTTGCCTCTAGCTAGAATTGAAACCCGAATATATATATATATATATATATATATATATATATCTTATGGCCAGATTGTGTTGAAATATTGGTTCCTGGACAATCACTTAAGCAACATCGAGCCTGTCAGTATTTGTCACTATGTGTGACTGCTTGGGAATACCAGGTGCTTGGATGTGCAGGTGGTGTAATGGATAATGGCTCAGAATTGTTAATCCGAAACCCAAGTTAATCCCCAGCCATGGGTTAATTAGTAAGACTTGTATTATTTCTAATGGTCAACCACATTATTGTGAGGCACCTACAAGTTTTGGTTGGTTGATTTTATGATATATCAACTCTTGTCGAGGTATTCACTGTTGAATTTTGTATGGGGTACCCTGTGAGAATTGAACTCAATGCTCAGCAGTAATGGTCAACTAGACAAGCTTTGTTAACCATTAACTGATACTAAATCTGTTGTGGGATGTGAACTAATAATAATAATAACAACAAACAGTGTCTTAACTCAAATAGAATGAGATCTGTGTGTTACGTCAAAATAGTCTCTCTATGTTGAATAAAACATGGAGGTGGCAACAAGAACCCCCCCTATTATCCATACCAGGATGTCAGGGCCTTTCCCAAAAGAATATGACTACACTGAAATCAGAAACCATTGAGAAGGCTATAGGGAATCACCTTACTATCCCTTCCAGGAAGTTATGGTAATCTCCATGAGAAAGAGAATGATTACTCAGATTTCAGAACCATGGAGATGTCAACAGGGAAACTACCATACTATCCTTCACTGGAAGTCATGGCAACTTCCAAAAGAAAAATGACAGCTCAGGATTCAGAAATTAGTGAGAAGACAACGGAGAAACCACTCCACTATCTTTTGCTTGTTGTCTCCTTCAGCAGTCTTAGCTCTCCACAACTTCTTGCCTTTTCTAACTCTGTGTCTTTTCATGGCAGTTCACAAATATTAATGACAAGGTAAGTATAGAGAGCCATAATTTGAAGTCGTGCTTTGTTCCTCTTCTCAAATATTTTACCTGTTCAACGCCTCGTCTTTCAAACGAAAGATCTTTTTTGAATAACTTCTCCCAATCCCTCATTTCTCTACCGGACTCCCCAACCTTGTGAAAACCCAGTAGTTCAGAGGGAAGAATCACCTGGTCATCGTCACAGCAACAGAGGATCAATACATAATCTATTGTGGCAATTAAATGTGGGAAAAACAGTTCTTGTTTTGCTGCTGATGACTAAGTGACTTGCTTTATTCATTAGGCTTTAGCACATCTGTGTTCCATCCTCACCCCAGGGAGAGCCTCCCACCTCCACCATGAAAAAGAAGCATTAAAAGCAAATAAAAAAAAATGCTTGTGGGCGTGGAGCAGCCAAAGGAGGAGAGGAAAAAAATATAACATTATATCTTCTTGTTACTCAGATGAGTCATCCGGAACTAAAGCTGTTGCTCCTGCAGTAACAAGATTACTGGTAGGACAGATTGGTTGATAAAGTTCATTTACTGTTTTTATCAGTTAATGGATTTTAATTTACATTGGGGTAAATGTGTTGAGCAGACAAATAAAAAAATAAATTGAACTATTCAAATGCTGAGAATGTAAATTTAACATGCAAACACATTTCCTGTTATATGAGAATGAAACACGCCACTATATTTCCAATATACTTTTTCTCTTGAAAATAAATTTATTTCTAGCAATAAAAATTCAAAGATAGTTTCTTTGAATAAAAAGGAAAAAAAATGGCAATGAATTTCCTGTTTTATAAATCCAGAATAAACTATTTGTATCTGTGTGTTTGAAAAGTATTTACTTTATATATTTCTGCATATAAGACAAGCTTTAAATCCCAAGACTAACCCTTAAAATTAGGGGTCATCTTATATACTTCAATTCTAAAAAAGAAGCCTTAAATTCTGAGTGATGTTTG